AGGATTTTAGGGCTTTGGGAGTTTTGGGTCTTAGGGTTTCGGGCTTAGGCTTTTGGGGTTTTGGGTCCTAGGGGTTGTCGAGTTTAGGAATTAGGGTCAGGATGCTCTTGGGATGCTCTCTTGAAGAGGTGAAATGGGGTTCACATGCACACACGCAGCATGATATCTGATGTGAGAAAACTACCCTAAACCCTAAACCCTAACCTATATACTATCAGAGCAGTTGTTCAGAACTAAGTCCAAGCTTTTGGGCTTGAAGGTAAGCTTTATGGAAATCATGTAGGGTTTGGAGTTTAGGTTGAGAGGTTTAGGGATGAGGGTGTATAGTTTGAGGGATTAGGGTTTAGAGCATCTGCGCCGTTACGGTGTAGTGGCTGTAGGCCATGGTGTTTTTAAAAGCTAAACCCTACACCCTAAACCCTAAACCGTTATTTAAAGCAGGCACAGATCTGGGGCTTTCAGGGCTCTAGGGCTTAGGCGGCGCCAGGCTTGATGTTTCTAGGGATCTTTGGAGTTTCCGCAAAGTAGGGGGACCCTAATATAGTACCCTAAATAGTAGGACCCGTATTATAAGTAAACCCTAAACCCTAAACCCTAAACCCCAAAATAAGGTACCCGAATTTTTGGAAACTCCCATTTGAACCTCTTAACTTCTCGGCCCTACCTAGGACTCCACTGACCTGCAGCTCTATGGGTTCTACCTACGGGGTAATGGCTGTTAAACTGTAGGTGACGCCTAAACACGAAACCCCTAAACCCTAAACCCCTAAACCCAAAATCCAAAAGCCTAAACCCTAAACCCCCAAACCCAAAATCCAAAAGTCTAAACCCTAAACCCTAAACCCTAAACCCAAAACCCAAAACCCAAAACCCTAAACCCTAAACCCTAAACCCAAAACCCAAAACCCAAAACCCTAAACCCATGTTACAGGTAACACCTCTTCAAACCTGGCCTTAGATCCTCAAGGCAGCTCTTACAAGCTTCCCTTTTGGTACCCTTTGGGGTTTAGGGTTTGGGGTTTAGGGTTTAGGGTTTGAGGGTTTGGGGTTTAAGGTTTGGGGTTTAGGGTTTGAGGGGTTTAGAGTTTGAGGGTTTGGGTTTAGGTTTCAATAGCCCCCCATCTTGCATCCCTTCTTAGACTGGCCCTGACTTACGCAACCCCCTGCACCACCCTGAACTGAACTCGGACCCCGTATGACTCGGAACCTTAAAACCCCCAAACGCGAAAACCGAATAGGAACCTAAACCCTAAACCCCTAAACCCCTAAACCCTAAACCCTAAATCCTAAATCCGAAACCCCTAAACCCCTAACCCCCCCCCTAAACCCTAAACCCAAACCCTGTCGCAGCCTCCCACTGGCCCTCGTAGGCGCGACCATCGGCCCATCGCTGCTTTCCCTGGCCGTGGAAGAGGTCGTCATGGAACGTGCCCTGCGCTGAAGAGAGGGTTGGGGTTTCGGAGTTTAGGCTATATAGGGCTTTTAGGGTGTATGGTATTTAGGGCTTTTAGGGTTTATGGTATTTAGGGTTTTAGGGTTTATGGCATTTAGGGTTTCAGGGTTTATGCTATTTAGGGTTTTAGGGTTTATGGTATTTAGGGTTTTAGGGTTTATAGGGTTGAAGGCGGGCCCTAAATCACATGTCAGCAGTATCATAGCTACTGGAACAGCAGCTGCTTGCTAAGCCCTGCACCCAAGGCTCTGTTTGTGCTGCAGCATGGGACATCGCAATCCTTTCCTTCTTCACGGGCACCTCCTCCTTGACCACCGAGGCACCGCCCACAAGAACCTTCTCGATCTTGGCATTCAAACGAGTGTCTGCATGAAGGTGCTTCTCACACTTGACTGGCATGAAGATCTCACCATTCTCCATCATGAGAATGCGAGGCCTACTCACTTTGATCTTGTTCTTCGCTAGCTTTCGCATCCGGCTCGCCTCGTAAATTTTCTGCAAGCGTTCTAGAGTTCAGGGCTCCACGGTTTGGGACCGCAAGGTTCTATCATACGAATGTAGGGGCCTATACATAATTACCTATATACTATCTGTTGGGGGGTCCTTATTATAGCTACAGTATAATGGGCCCCGAAGGCCTATTGAAATTATTAAAGGCCCATGTGATAATCACTTGGGGCTCTACGAGAGGATGCAAAGGATGAAGAGCTTAGGGTGTTGGATGGTACGGTGTAGGCATATGTAGGTTTAGGGTTTAAGGGCATGTTCAAGGTTACATCCGAGCCTTTCTAAGTCGGAACCCTGTAAAAGAAAGTTGTCTTAACCTATATGAGGTCTGTTCTTGGTTCGAGGACCTCTAACAAGGACATGACAACCCCGTCACGAATCCTATACCCAGTTTCGAAGGCACAATATCCCGAGCCTTAACCCACAACGGCTCCCCAAAACCCTGCATCAACGATAGCCCTAAACCCTATAAGCCCTACCTTGTACTACCATAACAGCTCTTACCGCAAGCCAGAATCTGGATTGCTTGTATGTGCCCTGCAACAGACTAGTTTAAGGGATACACCAATGCCTGCATCCTCAAAACCTCCAACCCCAAAAAGCTCTTCTTAAGAGCTCACGAAAAACAAGCCGATCGAAGTCCGACTCCTTCAGAAAGCCCATACACCCAAACTGATAAGACCCCAGTTCACCAGCGCCACAAGCCGCTATGAACCCACTAGAGCCGACTTATTGTAACATAAGCAGCTCCATCAACCACTAGAGCTATCACAACCTTAACTTCAATTGGTCAAAAAACCCTAAACCCTAAACCCTAAACCCTAAACCGGTCAACAGAAGAGGGCACTTGGAGGCCTTGTACTCAGAGCCGTCCAGCCAGCGGAAGGTGCCCTCCCCCGACTTCTTCCCATCCACCCAGCCTCTCCGACGCTCCAAAGTGCAGGAGCTCGGCTACAAACACCACTCTCAGCCAGGTAACCCTATGATACTCAGAATAAGAACCATCATACCCCAAGAATACTGATCATACTTACTAGTATCATAAAACCATGCTAAGCCCTAACCCGTAAACGATACGTCCGAAAGTAATCCCTACTGAATACGATGTGGATGCTAGGTTCCGGAGGCAGGTCACAAGGTGTGAGGATTCTGATCCGGACTCAGGAAGGCTCACGCTTCAACATCCTTGGCCGTTTAGGGTTTAGGGCTTAGGGTTTTAGGGTTTAGGGTTTTAGGGTTTAGGGTTTTAGGGTTTAGGGTTTAGGGTTTTGGGGTTTAGGGCTTAGGGTTTAGGGTTTAGGGGTCGGATATCTCCACAGACAACCCCTACATCAATGTACCCACCTTAGATATGTGCAAGACAACCGCAGCGATCCATGTACCTACATAGTACAGATCTGACACACTGTTGCGGTAAAGTCAGTATAATATGTGGGCCCTAGCTACGGACGATAAAGGTATACATGGACTAATGAACAACAGGATCAGCTAGCTAAGAAGACACCTTAGAAGTGGGTAAGGGTTTAGAGCAGGGTTTTGTAGGGCTTGGGGTGGATAAACCCTAAACCCCTACACCCTAAAGCCTAAACTGTACGGATCTAGATACATGCATTTGGGGCATTACTTCTCGGGCTTAGGGTGGAAGGAATTGGGAATAGAGTTGAGAGCTCGTGTCTACCGAGGGTGTCGGGCTTAGGAACTACATGGCTCAGGGTTTATTTGTTTCGGAGCCTTATCATTATCCCTAAGGGTCCAAGTACCTAATAATCATATACTCTTCTGAATACTAACCTACCAAACTACTATCCGTAACCCAAGTATTGATTCTTAGGGCCTTTGGACCCTTAGGATATAGGCCTTAGGAGGGATTGTGTACCCTGAACCCTAAACCCTAAAACAGTGAAGCCTGGCAGATAGACCACGGAAACCCTGGTGGACTCTTCCTTCACGTAGATTTTGAGCTTGGTCTTGTGGGGCTTGCCCGCGGACAAAAAGTAGCCATGCACCCTTAACTCTAAACCTTGTTATAGGGTCTAGGGCTTAGGACTAGTGTTCAGGGTTTACAGTTGAAATTTGTCGGGTTCGGATGCGCTGTGTTCTCCCCAAGCTCCGGTACTGGAGATGGGAATCTGGGCTCCAATCTCCAAGCTCGAGCTTCACACTCTCCGCCGGCGTGGTGGCCTGGCTTGCCACCAGAAGATCCGATTGCTCCTCGTGCTTGACACCGTTTACCGGCGTGGTGGCCTGGATTTGCACCTCCGCCTCGTTGTTGCAAAGCGTTTCGGATTTCGGGTCTGGTATTCAGGGCTCGAGGGATTTTATACAAAGGCAGCCCTAAAACAGAAAGGCTGAGTGCGGCCACGGCTTCGTCTGGATCAAAGAGGTGGCGTATACAATACACACGCTGCATACAAGGCCGTGAATTTTCGAGTTGTTGCAACCGCAAAGATCGTCTGTTTCACAACAGTCCTCTGCACTGAGGCGCGGTTGGCATAGCTCTCCCATTATGATGTCGCGCATTGTTACTATTCTCCCCATCACTGTACATAGCAGTCTCGCTCATTATACGTTATATACTAAGACGAGGGCCGACACAGGCTTCGAGAAACACCACAGAACAAACATCATAAAAGCCAACATAACATGCACTTGCGAACATGCCTACAACGAGCCCGACACACTCACCAAAACTCTAATGAATGCAACATCTGATAATTATCGACAAGCAGGCTGAACATTTTGAAACTGTATGGTCGGGATACTGTCACCGGCGCTTCGGCAGTGTCTTGCCTATGCCAAGTTCCTGCGTGCTTCTGTTGGTCACGCTCTAAAAATTCCCAAGCAGATCTGCTAAACGGTCGTTAGCTCATACACAATGGCATTGCTGTCACCACCGTACTCAGCATCACCCCAGGACACAACCGAGGCGTCACTCAGAATGGCAGCAAAAGCACGGTGTGAGGCTTGGATCTGCTGCACATTCCTGAGCCGATTCTGCACCGCACTGCTGTCACCACCGTACTCAGCATCGCCCCAGGTCACAACCGATTCGTCGCTCAGAATGGCAGCAAAAGCACGGTGAGAGGCTTGGATCTGCTTCACATTCTTCAACTTATTCTGCACAGCACTGCTGTCACCACCAGAGTGGGCAGCACCCCAAGCCACAACGGATCCATCGGCAAGAATGGCAGCAAAAGCACTGTGTGAGGCTTGGATCTGCTGCACATTCTTCAGCTTATTCTGCACAGCACTGCTGTCACCACCATTGTCAGCAGGACCCCAGCACACAACGGATCCATCGCCACAGATGGCAGCAAAAGCCCCCTCAGAGGCCTGTATCTGCTCCACATTCTTTAGCTGATCTTGCTTCGGGGTACTGTCGCCACCATACTCAGCATGACCCCAGGTAACAACCGATCCATCTGCAAGAATCGCAGCAAAAGCCCCGAGAGAGGCTTGAATCCGCCTCACATTCACAAGCTGGCCCTGCACGGCGCTACTGTCGCCACCGAAGTCAGCCTCACCCCAAGTCACAACCGATCCATCGCCAAGAATGGCAGCAAAAGATGCGTGACAGGCTTGGATCTGCTGCACATTCTCTAGCAGACCCTGCACGGCACGACTGTCGCCACCAGCGGTCGTGTTCCCCCAGGTTACCACCGATCCATCGCCAAGAACGGCAGCAAAAGCACCGAAAGAGGCTTGGACCTGCTGCACTTTCTTCAGCTGACCTTGCACTGCACTGCTGTCACCACCACAGAATTCTTTCCCCCAAGTCACAGCGGATCCATCGCTCAGGATGGCCGCAAAAGAACCTCTAGAGGCTTGGATCTGCTGAACATTCTTCAGCTGATTCTGCACAGCATTAGAGTCTCCACCAAGTCCAGAAACACCCCAGGTCACAACGGATCCATCTCCACGAATGGCAGCAAACGCGCCGTCAGAGGCCTGGATCTGCTGCACGTTCTTCAGCAGACTCTGCACAGCACGTCTGTCGCGACCAGCGGCAGTGTTACCCCAGGTCACCGCAGATCCATCGCCAAGAACGGCAGTAAAAGCATCATATGCTCTTTGGACTTGAAGTCTTCTCAGCTGAAATATCAAAATGTCACCATGTTGAACTCTGGCTTCGCGAATGGTTGCACATACATCCAGAACGTCTCCGCGGGAGTCCAGCAGAAGCCCTTTCCCCACTTCGAGTGCGGTCTGTGCACGTTGTCTCAACACATCCACAGTTTCATCCAAACCCACTTGCACAGTAGTCGTCCGGCCACTGAGCAGTCCGACCTCCACTGTAGTGGACATGTTGCAGGCTGTCGGAGTGGTTTATGTTTGTTGTGATCTGACGTTGAAGGTGAAACAGCTGGGGCACATAACTCAACAGCAACCGTCAGAAAGGGCTTGATTATGTACCTGTGTGGCCTTCTCGATAGCTTTCTTAGGCAATCTGATAGGTAGGATCCTCTAGTTTATCAGGAAACAGCCTAAACCCTAAACCCTAAACCCTAAACCGTCGGAAACAACGAAACCAACAAGTACAATCCGCCATAACGGGGACTGGGATTCACTGGATCTCGTGTGGGCCATGCACTGAAAGCCGGATCGGAGCTTCAAAGCAAGGATGGCTTTCATGACAGATGAGCCGCAAGCAGAAGGATCCATTCCTGCATCCTTTGTAGGGGTTTGCAGGGTTTAGGGTTTAGGGTTTCGGATTTGGGGTTTAGGGTTTACGGTTTCGGGTTTAGGGTTTGGGGTTTGGGGTTTAGGGTTTCGGATTTAGGGTTCTAGGGTTAGGAACCCTAAACTCTAAACCCTAAACCCTCAACCGTAGGGTTTAGGGTCTCGGGTTCAACCCTAAACCCTAAACCCTAAACCCTAAACCCCTAAACCCTAAACCCTAAACCCTAAACCCTAAAATCCTAAACCCTGGAACTCCCTGAGCCGCAACACCCAGACTCGGAACGTCCGAAGCCCAAAGAACCCCGGCCCTATCCGGTTTTGGGTTTAGGGGTCAGGGTTTAGGGTTTAGGGTTCAGGGTTTCGGTTTAGGGTTAGGGTTCACGGTTAAGGTTTAGAGTTCAGGGTTTAGGGTTTAGGGTTTAGGGATGGAAAAGAAGTTCATGGCTCCTTAAGCGCCACGGGATGGGCCTAGGCCTAGGCAAGACTAAACCTGCGAACCCTTTGTGTTGCAAAGCTTTGAACCCCAAACTCTAAACCCTAAAACCGTAAACTCTTGAACCAGAACCCCGAAACCCCTAACTTACCCCAAAACTCTTAAACCCAGAACCCCTAAACCCTAAAGCCCTAAATCCTTAAAACCAAAACCACAAACTCTTGAACCCAGAACCCCTAATACCCGACAGCCGAAACCTCACCCCATCAACTACCCACATGGAGGCCAAAATACTCATTCGACTCCATTCAAAACCTACACCCTATAAACCCTAAACCCAGGTGGCTGTCTACAACCTATGAAACCCAAGGTTGCAGGTTTCGATCATGAAGCACAAGACCTCTAACCTCTCCCAACCTCCAAAACCCTGAACCCTGAGCCTTACAGAAACCGCGACCCTAAACCCTCAACCCTGAACTCTAAACCCTAAACGCCTAAACCCCAAAACCCTAAACCCTGCACCTCCAAACTCCAGACACTCTCGAAGGAAAGGTCACCCCTAAACACGCATTCATCCTAGACCCGGGCCCTAAAACCCCCAACCCAAACCCTCAAAATCTGAAACAAAGCAGTGAAATCGTAGGGGTGGCTTCTACGTTGTCGGAGCTGCCTCCGGTGTAGCGGCCTCCATCAGAGTAGAACTCCTGTCTTTGTCACAAGGCCGGCTTCTGCAGGGTTTTGGCTTGTTTTCAGGTTTTGGAGCAGCAGCAGCCTTAACGCTTTGAGTGAAGTCTGGGCACTGATGTCGGGGCTATAGAGAGTATGCAATTACTAATTAGTCGGGCCTCTGTATCTGGCTTGTGGGTTGGCTTTGGGGTTTGGGGTTTGGGATATTGGGTTTAGGGTTTGGGGTCTGGGTCTTTTTGTCTTTCTGGCCTCCATGCACTCCTCTCGCCGATCAGAATCTCGCACGAGGTTGTTGGGATTTTGCCGAGACCCTCTAGGGATCGCGCAGCATTCTACTCTACTTCCACAACAAACCCCTAAACCCAAAACCCTAAAAGAGCTCAAGCTCACTCCTCCCCCTAAACCCTAAACCCACAACAAAACCCTAAACCCCAAACCCTAAAAGAGCTCAAGCTCACTCCTCCCCCTGACCATGCTTGTAGTCGTTCCGCCATTCGCCCTCGTACCTCGGCGATGCTGGAGAGGCGCACATGCCTGAGGGCTAAGGCAGCCTTGGCGTTCAAACAGGACAAGTCCACATTGATAATGAAAGGCATGGCCGTCCACAAACCCTATACCTGAAACCTAAAGTTCGAACAATTTGAAGCTTAATCCCTGAGCAGCAGCGGCCCGCCTCACATGGTTGATCGAGACGTGCACACCACGACCGTGGGCCTTGAACGGGGACCCCACTCGAACCGAGACTATCTAAGAGCGCCCGATGGTCCTTCACTACATACAGGTACTGCTCACAAGTTTGTGTTGCGTGAACTAAGGAATACTGACCTCCCTGTGCAACTCTACTGGAACCTCGGCTTGCTGCTGGCTTGTCGGATCTCACACAAAAGCCCCTGGACTCTGCAAAAACGGATGATGATGGCAGATTAAGTATCCTGGGTTTTGAAGTAACCAGGGAGAAAAAAGTATAGACTTTTTTTCATAATGGTTCCTTTCAGGAACGGGTACCCAAAAAAAGTATTAAAGTATGGTACTCCAAAGCCCAGTATCTATGAGTTTAGGCTTCAGTTCATTGCTTGTGGCTCACCCTTTTGCACTCTAGGCCCATCCCCAGACGAGGGCTCGTGCTAACGACGATGACACGAAGACCCTATCCGTACCCCAAAACATGGTCCTACAGGTAGTAGGTTCACGTAGTGAAGGACTAGTTGGACCCTTGGCACCAAGCCCTCAAACCCTAAAAGCAACAACCCAAACCACGGAGGTTTCGATTCACCGGTGCCTTCCCGTTCTTCCACTGGCCGTCGTAGACATCGCCCTGCAGCATAGGTAACCCTCAGCTTCCCGGGTTTACAGTCTTTCCTGGAGCCTGCTTGTGGAGTATCAAGATTACGCTCCACTACCCCCAAAACAACTCCCGAAAACCCTGAACCCCTGGAAGCTTAACAACTACCGTTCGTAGGGCTAAAAACAGGTGCAAGACCGCGTGGACACGTGAGACCCTTTAAAGCCCTCAAAAACCCTGCAACGCAAAATTAGACTCTAACCAAGTCCCCACAAACCCGCAACACCGTTCTCAAGCCCATCTAACACCTTATATACCCTGAGCAAGCCCAACACAGCCCTCCAAACCCCTATACAACTCTTTTATCAATCCCAGCAGCAGCCCTTCCAAAGCACATTCAAAGCTCTTTCGAGCCGCTAAACGCCTTGTGCAACTCCAGAAGAAACTCTTCTCAGACTTTTTTCTAAGCCCTGCAAACCCTGCAAAGCCTCCTTCATCAAACATATATATATATATATAATATTATATATATATATAATTATATAATCATATATATATATATATATATATATATATATTTGGCCTTTTTTTGGCCCGGCCTGCTCAAGGCGTCCCTGTCCTGAGACCCGGCTGTGATTCAGAGGAGTTCGGGGCTTACAGCCCTAAACCCTAAATCCTAAACCCCCTTAAAACCTAAACCCTAAACCCCTAAACCCATAAACCCCTAAAGCCCCTAAACCCCATAATTCCTGAAGGGATGTACTGGGCTTGTTGCAAGGATTTCCCATGCATGTGTAGGATTTCCTGGGTTTGTTTATGGTTTCTTGTAACGATTCCTTCTCTGGTTGCGGGTTTGATAAGGGTACTATCAGGGTTCTATTGAATGGGTTCTACATGAGTCTACTTTGGGGATAAACTTTCAAGGTTCAGCGGCTATGCTTGGGGGGGTTGGGGGGGATTGGAGTTTCGGGCTTGAGGTTGTTCTGGTGTTCCTTAAGGGTTTCGGCCTGTTCGGGGCTTTAGGGTTCTACGGCTTCGGGAATAGAACCTGCCAAGAGGATCCACATGCACAGGTATGCCATGACAACGCCCATGATGATGATTCTTGGAAACCCCATTCCTTAATCTGGGTCACCTAGTGGCACCTGCCCTGCCGCAGGATGTTTACTGCAACCCTCAAGGACTTGAATGTCGGGCTCCAAGAAAAATCGATTCTGGCTAGGTTGGCGCAGGGCTTAGGATGCCGGAGTTGGGGATTACGGGGGAAGCTTCGCCTGGCCCTGAACCCTACAGTTCTCGAGATGAGAGTGGAAAGTAATGGCATGAAATGAAATTGCAGCAGACAGCCCCCTCACGATCATAAACACTGTCAAGAACAAATACAACGAAAACTCACTGCTAAAGGATCTCAGAACAGTGGCCGTGCGGCACGTCGTGGTACCATTGCCCCACGTATCTCGCACCGTCCGACCAGACCTGCTATCGTTGCAGCTGACCTAAAACTTAACCCTGCATTCCCCGAACCTTCTATGGCTTGTGGCTCAGGTTTCTGGGTGCACCCTCCTTCCGAAACCAAACAAGCCGGAAACCCTTGAACATCCTTGAGTCCTCCATTCTAAACCCTCAACCCCTACTCCTCCAATCTCCCCCAACCACCCTAACCCTAAACCCTAAACCCTAAACCCTAAACCCTTACAGCCCGAGCTTGCCTGGATGCCTTTGCCATGACGCCAGCAGCCTCGGGTCTTGTTGAGGCGGCTCTGTGCTGGGATTGGTCAACCTTCATAATTAGGGTTTAGGGTTTTGGGGGCTCCTTTAAAGGGTTCCTTAAAGGGCGTAATAGGGTTTTAGGGTTTAAGGTTTAGGGTTTAGGGTTTAGGGTTTAGGGCAACCTGGTTTTGGGGCCCATTATACTGTAACTATAACAAGGACCCCCTCCAAAAATAATATAGATAATAATTAAGGCCCATACATTAGGGTAGGTTGTAGAATTCCGCAACTGTCGCTTCGGTGCTTTCAGGATTTCAGGCGTGCGGGTTTCAACGTTTATTGCCTCGAGGGCTTAGCATTTGCGAAGCTTCTTGTGGAATGTAAAGGTCTGAACAACTAGCAATAGTGTCTCCTTATCGCCCCTAATACTTATCATGTTATAACTATAGTGTACCTCGGAACCCTATTCCATTTATTCAGCAGGATACATGACATCTGCTTCGGGCGTTTTTGGGCTATAGCGCTCGCCGGCTTAAGGTGCTTATAATTAAAAGACTTGAAAAGTACTCCTAACTCAACCAAAAGGAGCACCACCGACATCTCCGTTATCTCAGATCTCTGAAACCCCTCACGCATGGCATTCCAAGACGCAGCTGTGCGAAAAGCGCTAAACACCTGAAACCGAAAACTTTAAATCGCAAACACAAGCCCTAAGCCCTAAACTCCAAGCTCTAAGCCCCTTCAGGGCCAGAACGTAGTGAACTACAGCCTGCTTCTTAATTTTAGAATCACTACTGCAAAATCCTTATAGCAACCTATAGATCCCTTTTCAAATCCCACAGAACTTCAAAACACCTTTTTAGAACTCGCTCTGATTCCCAGTCGCCGAGCCATTCCCCTTGGTAGCTGCCGCCGTCTTTGTCCTCGACCTTCGGCCGCGCCTCCACAAGTACGCCGGGGTGGTTTTTGTTGTCGTCGTCATTACTATTGTTACTCCTAGTCCTCCTACTATAGCCACCACTACTACTACTACTACTA